ATTTAAATAAAAAATTTTTCAAAAAAATTGCATGTGGCCCATGAGGACCATAAGGCCATAGGCCATCAGGCATTCTGACTTAAGATATCCCACAATGCACAGACAGTCAATTGGATGGGAAAGGGAAAATGGCCACGAGAGTCAGAAATAGCAATTGGCAAAAAGATCAGAATTTGAGGGATGATTTAATCAAGCATCACTCACTCATTCATGCCCATGATGCCATGTGGCGCATAGGGTGGCTAAGAAGGATCGCCACGTCTAACGTTTCTGCGCCAGCTTCTGGATGGTACCCTAACTGTGTTTGATCAAGCATGTGAGACAAAATTCATGAAGTTCATGGCTTGAGCATGCCCAGAATTCTAGTGTATGCTATGATGACCAAGGTGAACCCACAAGGACTCGAAGAAAGAGGATGAGTTGGAAAACTGTGTTGAACTAAATTGACGCCTTGGAAAGTTCTTCAAAGAACAATTGACAATGCTATTAAGGGGAAGAGAGTATGACTCACAAAGTGCACTTGATAGACAACTGCTTGCTTATGTGTTAATACCAGTTGTCCAGCATGAGAGTGACATTTTTGTTAGGTACTGGAATTCTCATGGAATCCGAGTGCAAGATAAGTTAGAAATTCCTGCTAAGGTACCAGACTACATATTCTCTTCCCCTGGAATTATGGAGGTACCAACATGGGAATCCCATTACACAAAGATGAGTTGAGGGGGGTGGCCAAGTTGTCAAGGGTAATGGATGGAGACGTGTTTGACTTTATTACACCAAGAGTGAGGAGGGAATGTCTGCAACTACTTTCAAATCCAGAAAAAGTAGAATCAAAGGATACAAGTGAAGCCTTTAAGAGAGGCTGTCTGCATAAGAACCGACCACTTGAATTTTGGCAGACCACAAAATTTCATGAAATTTTTACTGTGAGATGATTTGTCTATTCTGATGGCAAAAATCGCATTTATTTGGTTTGTAGTGCTATTTCGCCAAAATTTAGCAAAAATATGCAAGGACAGTCCAGGACAAAGAAAATTGTTTATTCAGAGTCAATTTTGACCTTTTCGCTGAGGGCTCTAAAACTTGACACATTTGATCAAATGACACAATTATGCTCTTCACATCATGGAGAAATGAGGAAACTGACTTAATATTTAATTGTTCTTCTTATAAGGCCCGATTTTTACTTTTTACTTTTTGCCATAAATGACCAAATGAAACAATATGCTGCTTACAGCAATGAAATTGAAAAAATGCAGGAGCACATAAAAGATAATACGCTGAGCAATGATCAGTTTGATTCAACAGCACCATTTACTCTAAATATAGAATACTAGGATGACTATGAAGGTGTTCATGACCTACATCCTGACTTCAGTGAGAACTATGACCTATCACAAGACGTTTGAATTCCTTCTGTGACAACAAGTACTGAACCACTGATATTAAATGAGCTGCAAGACAATGATTATAGACAATTAGTACAAATACTGAATAAAAAGCAAAAAATTTTTTATCATGTCTTGCATCTTATTTAAACATCAGACACACCATTTTAATATTTTCTCTCTAGAGGAGCTGGAGTGGGTAGGTCCCATCTTGTCAAAGCATTATATCAGGCAGCATCAAAATATTATAACTCCAGACATGGAGAAGATTTCCATGAAGTCAAAATATTGTTGCTTGCCTCCACTGGAAAAGCTGCTTTTTCTATCAGAGGTAACACAATACATAGTGCCTTGCAAATACTAGCATGCCAATCACTTAAGAATTACAAACCACTAGACTCCACGCACTCAAACTAATATTTCTAGATGAGATATTTATGGTAGGAAATACTATGTTTAATGTACAAATAAACGATAGATTGTTGCAATACGCTATTGCATATTCAATTAGCTGACGATTGTTTAGATCATTATTCCCAATACAGACCATTCTTTGTTCATATTCAATAGGCTATAGATCGCACTAAAAATATTAGTCATTGTTCAGTGTGACTTTGTAGTTGAAACTGTTAGGATGCTGAATAAAATTCATTCGTCAAAAGTTGTCTTGTCAGGATATTTCCTCATGCTGGAATCAGAAAGAACATTCTTTTTTCGTTAGGATTATCAAATTATGGAATGAGTTACCGAGTGATATAGTCGAAGCTGATAGCTTTCAGCATTTTAAATCTAAACTTAAATCGTATCTCAATATTTAATTATATAGATCTTGATTTTTATTTTATTTTTAATTTACTTATTGATTTTATTTTAGAGGAGTTTTTAGACGGGGTTAACCTCTAAACTTCCTTTTCTAGAAGTACCTTTTTTTTTTCCTTAACCTGTATATATAGTTTGCTTCTAGAATATATAAAGTATGTAAGCATGAGGAAGCATGGTGTCTGGAGTAAAAGTCTAGTCTATGATCTGGAAGCCGAACAAGTTCACCATCGAAGTTCTCATGAAAGGACCAATCTTGGATTGGACAAACTACAGAAAACTTCACAAATGTTTCCTACGATGGAAAAAGAAGGTATCCATTTTATGCAGAGGTCTTGTAATGACCAAAGCAGACCTGGAGTTTGTTTGTCTATGCATTTATCAGTGGTCGGGTGAACGCAGACAAAATATTTTGGACAAGGCAACAATTTCATCCGATGATCACAAGAAATGGGAGATACATCTTGGAAAGGTGGAGGAGCAATGCAAACCCAGAGGGAACAAACTAGTCGTGGCTACACAGTACAAAGCGCTCACTCAAAGTGATATGGAATTACCAGAGTACATCAAAAAGTGCAGGCAAATCACTGATGCATGTGAATGGCCAGAAGACGCGAAGGACATGGCTCTCAGGAACACTATTCTCCTCGGTCTAAAGAATCCAGAAGTTTATCAAAAGTGTTTGGAAAAAGTCCAGGACTCCCTTACCGCCGAACGAGTGATCAAAATTCCAACTCTCCTGTACAACAGCAATTGTCAAAGATCAATTATGCATACTGTCAGTACAGCAACCACAGCAGCAACAGCAATACAACAAGGATCAACACAGATTCACAAAGTGCAAACAAAGCATCAAAAGGGCAGGAAATCAACAGAGTGGTCAAATAGAGACAAGATGTCTAAAGATAAAGAGCATAGTGAGACAAAAAGACGAAGTTGTTTTTCTTGTGGCGCAAAGCCTGCTCACCCCAGATTGCAGTGTCCGGCCAAGGATGTCACTTGTCACAAGAGTGGAAAGAAGGGACATTACAAAAAGGGCTGCAAGAGCAAAACAGGTAAACAAGGTACGACCAGTGAACCTAGGCAGGTTCAAGTACATGGTTTACAAGTACCGCTGACAGGAGCCAGTGCCAATCAGACTTCAGTTCGTGATCTTGCACAGGACTACCACACGATGTTTGGTCCACATGTACCATAGGACAACCAACACACACTGTTTCACCATATTCAGACTTTTCATGTGAAGAGTATTAATGATACTTCAAGCAAGCACATCAAGCCTCTTTGGTTAAGTACAGCAAGTGGAGGACCCATATATGAGGTTGAATGCGAGATTGATACAGGTGCAGGATGTAACGTGATGCCTTTGTATCTACACAAATCCTTATTTGGAGACAAGAGTCTTACCCCTACCTCTGTGCAGATATTCAGATATGGAGAATCCCCTGTAGCAAACCTAGGAGCATGCACTATTGCGATTCATACTGGTGATAGACAACAGCCACAGATGGCGACTTGACAAGTGACTGATACTCGAGGGTATCTCATCCTAGGCAGAGAAACAGCCCAGCAAGTTGGCTACCTTGCCTTTCCAGAGGTAACCCCACCCTCCTTAATCAGTACACCACAAATCCATACAAGTGTTAACACTCTGCAACCAGATTCCAGTAAGGTTAACAAGCTTACATGTGAGGTGTTGCATGATGCTGTCATCTTGAATGGAGAGACATTGTTTGCCCTTAGCAAAGGAGTATGTGTTATCCAAATTCAGAGCTACATTCGAAGGTATAGGAAAACTACCAGGGGGCAAGTATCACATCCAGCTAAAGCCAGACGCACAACCTGTACAACATCCACCATGAGCAGTACCTGAAAAGAAGAAAGCAGCATACAAAGAAGAGCTTAAAAGATTGTGCAGTTCGGGAATCATTGAACCAGTTCAGAGACACACAGACTGAATTAGTAGCGTAATTCCTTTCTCTAAGCTTGATGCATCAATTTGACTATGCCTAGATCCAAAGGACCTTAACAAGAGCATCAAAAGGAACCAGTACTACACAAAGACTATCAATGAAGTTAGTGCTGAACTCCACGGAGGAAAATATTTTACGCTTGTAAGTTCTTCCAGTTTAAAACAACCAAGTGCGATTTCTTCAGACAGACCATCACGCCAGAGGGTATGGAGATCAACAACAAAAAGGTTGAGGCCATCAAACAGATCACAAACCTCTAGAAATGATTTGGAAGAAGAGTATTGTCACTGCCTGCCCGAGACTTCAACGACTTCTTCTGAGGCTTGCAAGATACGAAATTTAAGTTGAGTACATCTGTGGGAAGGACAACTCAATTGCAGACGTCCTTAGTTGTGTTGACCCTCTCAGTCCAAAGCCTATGAATTCAAAGCAGATGGATGTGATGCCAATGCATCACATCACTTCAAATGTTCCAGCAACAGAAAACCAACTTGACAGAACAAAAGTTGCCACCACTGCTGATCCAGCCTTGAACCAGTTAAGGCATTACATCTTTCACGGTTGGCTGCTTCAGAGGCAGCAACTCACAGAACAATTGCAACATTATTGGAATTACCGTGAAGAACTTGCAGTTGGAGATGGCCTGATGTTCAAAGCACATTGACTTGTGATTCCAACTTCGCTGAGAGCAGAGTATCCAGAGGGTCTTCATGCGGGCCACCTAGGAGGAGAGAAAACTCTGTTAAGAGCATGAGAGACAGTCTTTTGGCCCAGGATCTCGGATGATGTGAAAAATGCAGTTAAATTATGTGACGTATATATGAAGCCTGCTCAACAGAAGGAACAGCAAGTACCGCATGATGTGCCCAGCTTGCCATGGTTTAAACTTGGAGTTGAAATGTTTGAGTATCATTCTCACTACTACCTACTGGTTGCCAACTACTTCAGCGAGTTCCCCTTTGTTAAGAAACTGACTGATCAGATGGTGGGACCCAGGATAAGTCTTCTCAAGATGATATTTTCAGAACATGGGATACCAGCAACGGTGTACACAGATATGGGAACCCAGTTTGTGTCCCAAGAATTCAAATTTGCCATGCAGTACAGATTTGAAGTGCAACACTCTAACCTGAGGTATCCTCAGTCGAATGGTTTCATTGAGGTTATGGTCAGAGGTGTAAAGGGCATAATGGAGAAGGCCAAAGAGTCGGGTTTGGATCCACATTTTGCAATGCTGATTTATTGTGCAACCCCAATCAGACCAGGTCACCTTAGCCCGGGAGAGATGCTTTCCCAGCGGAAATATAGAGCACTCCTTCCTATCCATCAATATCTGCATCCCACTTCTGACACCATGCTTCCTCACATTCTTTCTGATTCCAGCATGAAGAAATATTCTCACAAGACAACTTTTGATGAGCAAAGTTTATTCAGCGTCCATCAATAAAAAGATATTAAAGGTAGCAAAGAGGCATTTGGGAGTGTTAGTGTTATTGCACTGGGTGATTTATTTCAGCGTGAACCAGGTATGGATAGATATGTGTTTAAAGATATGAAGGACTCAGAGTATGGAGCTCTTTCTCCCAACCTCTGGAAAGAACTTTTTACCATGTTTGAATTACAAGAAATCATGAGGCAGAGAGAAAGTAATCAATTTGCTGAAATTCTTAACAGATTAAGAGAAGGTAATCACACCACAGATGACATTGCCAAACTTAAAGAGAGGTGCATTTCAGAAAATTGTAGAGACTACCCAACTGATATTCCTCATTTGTTTATACAGAATTCTAAAGTAGATGAGTAGAACAATAGAGTCCATATGGCAGCTACTGGTGATAAATACACCATTAAAGCTTTAGACAGTATTATAGGTGCAATCACTCCGGAACTTAGAAGTAAGATATTAAACCAAATACCTAGTAAAACCAAGCAGTTAGCCTCAAACCTTCAACTTGCTGAGGGTGAGAGAACAGAGATAGCATTAAATGCAAGAGCTGATGATGGTATCACAAATGGGGCAAATAATATTATCAAAAAGATTACGTTATATGACAAAAGTAAACCATCTGGTTTAATTTGGGTACAATTTGACCATGTTGATGTTGGAGAAAAGACTAGACATGATAACAAGCAATTGCATTTGTAAGGAATTGAACCTACATGGACTCCTATCAAACCTATCATTGCACAATTTGTAGTAGGAAGAAACAGAACAGCTGTTAACTTTAAAACCAAAAGAGCAATACCTTGTGTACATTATGTAGGACTCAGCAGAGTGACAACAATTGATGGACTTTACATAACTGACCTCTCTGAAAGTAAAATAGCTGTTAATCACTATGTTAATGTTCACATGCTGTAGTTATGCACAGATTGCCATACCAAAATTTCTAATAGCCCGATCTTTGAATTAGACCCAAGCAATTTTAAAATTTGCCTCCTTAATTCAAGATCTCTGCATAAACATATTGAAGACATACATAGTGACCTAAACTATTCAAATATGGATATCAATATTTTCTCAGAAACAAGACTACACCATTTAGACAGCTATGCCATAAGTGGGTATACTACATTTCCAAATGACAGTGAATCTTCAATACTCACTACAAAGGCCCTTTGCTGGAACAGCTGTATACACTAAAATCCCCTTTATCCCTGGATATCCACTAACCAAAAACACCAATGGAGTAAAAATAACCATTATCAAAGTTGTTGCCATTCCCCATGTTAACATCATAGGTGTATACAGGTCACCAAAAGTGTCAGTCCAACAAATGTGTCTAGCATTGACCCAAATTCTCAATAGTTGCTGTTTTGATTTTAATGTTTTTCTTGGGGATTTTAAAGTCAATTACTTCATTCAAAAAGAGAAAGTTCCCCTCTATAACTTGTTTATAAGAGATAACAATTACAGACAATAGGCATCATCCTATACTACTGATAATCGAACAACTATTGACCATAAATATACCAATTTGCCTGAATCAGAAATGACTGTGCTCATTCTGGAAACATATTTCACTGATCATAAAGCAATATGTGCATTGATTAAAACAACTTGATATTGTTGAAAATTGAACATACATGTAACTCCATGTAAGATGTTTGAGAATGCTATAAAGTACCAACAGAATTCAATGTAGGAAGAGTAATTCGGCAATTTACTTGAAATCCATCATCATAATTTATGTATGTAGTGATAAGATGTTCCAATTTTTCTGATCACAAGCCATTGTTTTTGCATAAATTGAAGGATAGAAACTTGAAAATAGGCACACATGTGAAGTCAGTTAGTTAACAGACAAGTAACTGATCTAAAAATACTAATTTTCCTTGATGAAATTCCTGATTAAGATAACCTAAAATTAAAATGCAATTCTGAAGGTTGTTCTGCTTTTTGGCAACCTTCTTACACTTTTTTCAATCAGAGAATAAACATAGGGATAGAGGTAAGCTTGCAAATTTTTTTCATTGTTATTTGTTTTCCCCTTTCTCTCAATAGTAGCAAACAATTTTCTAGCCAGTGTATATAATAACAACTTAATATACTTATTTCTCCATTTAAATCTAAGTACCTTCACCTCATTCTAAGTCTTAGTGTTAATACCAGTAACTTCATGTATTATCCCATTTTCCCCTTACAGCCTGTTCCTGAAAAATGGATGACGAACTCACTGGCTATCTTCATAA